TTCAACACAAGGATGGATCTTTCTTGATTCTTTTCAGTACAAGTACATTGATTGCCCAACTGCTCCTTATATCAGCTGCCCAAGCAGTGTACTTGTGGTGGAAATACACTCACCCGCACATCAAACTTCAAAGTGCACACACCTTTTCTTCAAGCTTCGCAGAGCTTGTTTTTTATGTTAGGATAGTGATGTTCGAAGTGTGGATGACCGTTAGTTAAGTGTATTACATTTTGAATCCATGAGAGTGGCACTTCTAACAGTAGTAGCTTGCTTTTCCTCTCAATGCTTATTACGATGTTACTATCCCACTTCATCCCTGATGGGCTCCTCAGGCAGCTAATGATGATTATTTAAGGCATAACACCTAACTAAAGCAATGTAAAACACTGATTCAGAGCAGCCACTGCCTCACCTGGGCATGATGAAGAAGAAGGGTATAGCTGAGTGCCATCCATCCATTGATGGTACCTCAGCTCATACCTCCGGGTAACCTCCCCCAGTGCTTTCACGTTAATGTTAAATAGCATAGGGGATAAAATAGAACCCTGCAGTACCCCATGGCATAACTACCATGATGCAGCAATAATCCCCCAGCACCACTTCTAGAATTAGTTGGTCAAATAGAATATATCAAATATACCCTAAATATCAATAGAAATAGATCAATAGAAATAGATCAGAAGTAACCAAGTAGGGATACCTCTTCCGTCCTCTTCCACCTGAAAGGGCTGGGGCTTGTGGAAGGTGCAGCATCAAGCGTTGGACTCAGAGTTATGGACCTAATGCAGAGCCTCCATCTGCTGGATGTTGCATTCCTTGTTTTACATAAATCCTGCAAGTCTCCAGTGGTAATGGAATGTAGAGTAGGACCTCTGAACTTGATCTCAGAGACTGGACAGGTTCATATGAGAGGTGTACTCCTTGAGAAATCCTGGCCCCAAGTTCTTTAAGGCTATAGGTTAGCACCAGCCCTTTAAATTGAGTTAATAAATGAACAGGCAGCCAGTGATGGGACTTAGATGGTCCTGGTCCCAGTCAGCATTCTGGTACTCATATTTTGAACTAGTTTCACTCATTAAGCTAACCCCATGCATTGCAGCTATCAAACTTGGATAGAAATGGAACACAAAGGATTGAAGCTAATCCAGTTTGGTGAGAAAAGTTTCCCTGCACTTTTACTAGCCAAAGCTGGTGAATGTGCTTCTGCTTACCTCTACCATATGGCTAGTGGCTAGCCTGAGAAGTGTGAGATCCTGGAGAACTGATCATGTGTATCTGATTCTTCCAGGATAGTGTATCTATGTAAGAGGCTATACATCCAAAACTGGATCAGCTGGACTCCAAACTTATGCGTCCATCTTGAGTTAAATCAGAGTTATGTTTTAGCTTTTGACTGTGGTTAATTGCTGAGAAGATACTGTATTCAAGTTCATAATTTCCAGCACCACCCCGTGAAGTTGGCCCTCCAGGTATTACTCAAAGCCACAGAATGGCATTGAATCTCAGTTTCCTACCAGCAGGACAACTCAGAAGGAGACCAAGATTCACCATAGTGAATGCTGCTGAGAAATCTAGGAAAACCATCAGGACTGCATTCCCCACATCCTTTTCATGGTGCAGGTCATTCACAAAGGTAGTTTGGATCTCAAAGTTAAACCAGAAACTAAGCTGAAAAGGATCGAAATAATCAGTTTCATCCAGGAATACCTAGAGCTGAGATGGTAGTGCACACACGCTTTAGCCAAGTTAGGGTCCTTTTAGACAGGATGGTCATTGTTCATATTTCCTGTGTCAACAAGGGTCAAGATGGCCCTTACTACAGCCTCCTTAGGAACTGTCCCCTGGGGCATCAACCTTATAAGCCCAGGTAGGACAGACAAAAATCCAATCCATGCATGATTAATCTCACATACCCTCAGGCAAAATATGTCAGAACTGCAGAATTATGAGAGAAATTCCTGGAGTGTAGCTTCCTTCCAGCACTTCTTATAATAATCATCTTTAGGAGAAGGAAAAGTGAATGGTAATTCACTAGTAGAACCAGTATACCCTCCCAAGTAGATTGTCTTTTGAGACTAGAGGCAGGATCAGTGGGGTGCTTGTGCCCCCATCAGTTCTGCCCTGAAACTACCAGGTCGTTAGGATACTTGTGCAACGGGATGGAGGATCCTGAAATCTGAAACACGCCCCTTTCTGTGTGCCTGGGTGCTTTTGGGAGAGTCTGAGTGTGCACACTTTAATGGCTGGTGGTTTGGTAAATGGTGAATGTCTGATTATTTTTATAAATAGCTTTTTGCAGTTATTCAGTCTCTGAAATAGAGGTTCTAATATTTTGAAATGGTTTGTTCTCTTGGGATATTATTTTTATATTGGTTTGGCCGCACACACACTTGGATCTAATTTCAGATTTTACGGAGTAGTAGTTCGAGAACATAAAAGAGTTTTTTTTTAATATTTCTTTGGTTGAAATAGAAGAGATGATAGTATTTTATTTTCTAATAACTCTTCTGATACATGCGTCACATATCACTGGAAAAAAACTTACATACTGAGAAGGCACAAGATACATTTTATTGGTTTCATTATCTCCCAACATGACAGATTTTCATCCTTAAGTAAGAACAACTGTTTTCAATAGGAAAGCTCCAAACCACACTTATTGATTTCCCAGGCTCCACTTACCCAGGCATTCCAAATGCTAAATTTTAGATGGTGATATCAAGTACTGCCGTGCTTTACTGCCACACAGCTAGAAATTAAGTTTACTGTTTGCAAGAGGAAAATGTGCAGCCTCTCATCAGCTGTGGGTAACACATGTCTCCTGCCCTGCCCCCAGGAGAGAATCCCTGCGGGTTGCTTTTGGGGTTAAGAAAATGTCTCTGGAAGAGTGCTTTATTTCTGCTGTAATAACTTCCTTTCCATTGATTTCAGTAATAAAATGCAGATATGAAGTACGTATTTCTCTTTCAAAGAGAGAATATTGACAGCTTTAAAAAGAGAACCTTGCAGGGAACAAAATCCCAAACCAAATCTGGCATACAAACTCACCTAAAACAGAGTCAGGGTTAGGGTTAGGGTTTTGGTGGGGGTTTTACAAGTATTGTGGGCTGCCAGACAAGAAGAATGAGACTGACCTCTGTGAGGGATAGCACCAGATCAAACTTGCAAATCAATACTTTAAAACTAGGAATGAGCTTCGGTGCTTCATTCTTACATGTATAAATCATGCATTTGGATGACAAGAAGGGAAAATAGAAACCCTTCTCTACTGCATGTTTTCTCCAGTTGCAGCTCTTTGCTTTTGTCCATAGGAAAGAAAAACAGCCATTCCCCAATATAGGTGACACCGATTCCCCTATACAGGGAAAATTAAGGTGTTTCATATGTGGATACAACTGGAGTTGCATTTGTCCATGGTCTTCCCCTGACCCTTGAATTTCAACTGTGTCTCACAGAATTTAGCAGGAGCTATGGATTTGATTTGCCCTCATGACAGCCCTCCTTCTATTTTCGTTTTAATTATTGCATTTCAATAGTAGAAAGCTCCCTGAGCAGTTTACAAAGACCCTAAAGACATTAGAAAATCCATTTACATGCACACTTGTAAACAGACCACACAGAGAGACACATCTATCTAAAATAATTTTAACAATAATAAGAAAAACCTGATTGAAACTTCATCATAGACACTAAAATGCCCGAGAGAAGAGGAAGGTCTTAGTATAGTGCTGAAAAGGTAAAGTGTTGGTGGCAGGCAGACCTCACCATTCCACCATTGAGAAGGCAATCTTCTTTATTGCTTCCTTTTGTCACAGGAGGAACTTGAAGGAGGGTCTTAGATGACAAATTTAATATACAGGTAGATTCTTCCTGCCAGAGACACTCCATGAAGCACTGTGATCACTGGACAGTTGCAAATTCCTTTTTTGCATGGCAGCTGTGGACAATCCTCAAACAACCTTATGGGTTGGTCAACATTTGTCTAATTCTCAGATTAGACAAACGCCCTCAAACATTTCTCAATCCTCAAATAACCCAAGGGTTGTTCAATTTGTCATTTGTCTCATTTTCAAAGAACCCCTGCCACCTGGGTTTGCAGGATGTGACAAGCCATGGCAAGCAGGCGCTTGCTGGTGCCACACAAAAATGGCATCCTCTCGCACCCAGCTCAACAACTCCCATGAGTAAATTAACTCACTGTGGGTTCACTATCCTGAACAGATAAATGCAGATGCAAGCTGGCCCTGTTCTTAGTTCTGCTTCTTGCTCATACTACGGTGGGATGAATACTGGGAACTGGCACAGAAAGAGAGAGAGAGAGAGAGATCTCATTTAAATCAGAGCCAAGTGTCTGACTGATATTTCCTGAGAAGCTTCTGTTTGTGCAGTATGAAGACAGAAGTGGATATGTACTAGAAAACAAAACAATACCCCAGAGCTGCGAGGCAAGACTGGGATGATTCATACACTGTAGGACTAACCAGCCTATAACTCCCTAACTGTTGTGGCAAGCTGGGTTATTGTTAACTGCTAGGTTTCTAAAGCCTGCTGAGGGAACCTCAAAGCAGTAACTTAGCATTGAACTTGGCCTTTCATTCCTCTAGTTGAAGATGGCAGTTTGTAGAAAACCACACAAGCTGTGTAACTGTTCCCATAACATTTTATATTACGTCTTGGCACAAGAGCATTTGTCTTCAAGTCGCATGAAAAGGTGGTTTGAATTTTTCCCTAAAAGTAAATCCACAAACACTGGTGTGTTTACACCCGCCCTCCCTGCTCAAGTCAGCGGCCTCCTTTGCGTCATGAATGAACTCATCCTGGATTCTTGCAGAGGGTACCCGCCCTTTCCACTTTAAAAAATTTTAACTGCTGCTTTGCTTTTTGACATCTGCCACTGACTTGCTTGGATCATGTTTGGGTGCAGCTTTCTTAAAGGAAAATTCCTATTTGTTTTGTTCTTTTCTTTCTTTTCCGTTCCTCCCTTTACCCTTGTCTTGCAGTTACACCTGCCGCCACTTGCGGAGATATGTCTATGTCTTGGACAAACTCTATTTCCCCCACTCCCACTGCTCTACGCTGCAGCATTGCTTCTCAAGCCTCAGTGACAATGGAGAGGAGCTGCTGTCTTTAACTTGTTCTCACATTCTCAGATCCTATGCTTCCAGGTTATTAACCTCTGCTCTCCGTTTACTGCATGTTGCATGCTCTGTGTTACTGGTCTGTGCATGTGGAACGAAATGAAAGGGTGGAGGGCGGGCCCAAAGCACTTGTTCACTAACTATAAAGCCAGTGTGGTTAAGCGTGCAGGGCTGGGGTTTCGGGAGCTCTGGGTTCTGGTCCCCACTCAGCCATGGAGCCAACTGGGTGACTTTGGGCCAGTCGCAGACTCTCAGCCCAACCTGCCTCACAGGGTTGTTGTTGTGGGGATAAGATTAAGAGGAGAACAAGAAATATGTAAGCCACCTTGTGTTCCTTACAGGGACAAACAGGGTAGGATATACTTATGATAAATAAACTAGGAGTCTCTTTGTGGCTCTCAGCACGTACAGTTACAAACTGCAAGGCCAATATGGCTCCACAGTAATGGCATGGGATATATTTTCCATGAGCTTAGTGTAGCTTTAATTTGCAAGGATTTCATACCTAAGGTATAACCCTTAAATATTTTAGAGCTGCTTCTTCACACAATCTTTTCTGCACCAATGTGTAGAACCCATGGCATAGCCAAAGATTCTGGGGCATGTGCCCCCAAAATGCTTTGTACTGTGGTTTTCATAGTCCATGACTGAAGAAATACTTTCCTCAGGAGGGGACCAGGTTGGGGACAGCTGTTTAATTCTTGGGTCATGCAGGGAGCTCGCTGTCATTCGGAGATGCTCTTCTTCTATGCATCTTCTAACTCCGGAAAGCATGGTAAGTTAGTAGGGGTTCCCTGGAACACAGTATGGAAACTTTCACTTTAGGATGGAATTCGACAGTACGGCAGATTGGTGGCTGCTGCTAAAAGTAGATGTAGTGGACAATCCATTGGTTGCCACCTGCAGGTGAAGTCAAACTCTTAGTGCAGTGATGCCATTGCATGGTAGGATATTGGTTCTTACCCACTTTCATGCATAAGGGAAGAAGGCAAACTGCTGGCTCCAACTCATGCGTGTCCCTTTGCTGACACCTGTGCTCAGTGGCCACAGGCATGTGAAATGCCAGACACCTACGCAGTCGCTCCCCCAGGGAAGCCTATGAATGCAGGGCCAGCCATGGGACGTAACTTTGGCACAGTGCCAGTGGCTCAGCCCCCCCAACCTTTCTTTTGCTCCAGGATTCCATCTATGAGTGAAATGCATCAGAACAAGCTACTTGGTGCTTATGCTGGGGAGGGGGATGGACACCGGATTACCATTTCTGACAGCTCCCCCCATCATTTCTTTCTTTCTGAGACTCCTGGGAAAATTGCAAGGGTCACAAGAGATTGGCTGAATTCAGACCTTGGTTCCCCAGACATGCACCTTTTTCTTAAGTTCCCAGTGTGCTTGTTTCTTCTTCCAGGAGATGGAGTCAGGAGACTAGGGAAGCAGAGAGATGTAAGCAGGCCTTGCTTTTTACTTGTTACCCTCCCCTTTTCTGGACTGATCTCCTGCTTGTCAGGTTCAGTCTAGTCCTTTGATCCAAAGAATGGCCTATTAGTCGCTTACGACTCAATATACATGTTAGCAAATAAGACTGGGAAACTATGAAGTTGATACCAAGCAGCAGCAGAAAATGACATATACATGTAATTAAGTGGAAATCACCCAAAGCTAATTAGAATAAAGAAACTTTTTAAATAAATTAATACCATTTCTGAGTTGCCTTTCCAATTTGAGAAATGCTTAAGGCAATGTACGTTGAAAAATCTACCACAAAGAAATCACCAAAAGCTAATTGGAATAAAGAAACATTTTTTTTAAATAAATTAATAGCATTTCTGAGTTGCCTTTCCAATTTGTGAAATGCTCAAGGCAATGCATGTTAAAAAGTCTACCACAAAGAACAAAGCACAGTATAGTTTTTCTGAACATTTACATTCAAGCTTCACTCGCTTTGCACATTCTTTAATGTATTATGGCTGGAGCCAAGAATTTTGGGAAAGCAAGGAAAAAAATTGCATGACAAAATTTGACCAGAACATGGAGAGCATCCAGAATGGAAATAGCAGTATCCTGGGTTTGTGAGCACAGAATGGTAAAGGGACCACACAGTAAACATAAATAAAACCAGCTTGATTATCAAGCGGGGTGTGGGAGGGGGGATGTGGCATGCCATTTGAAATAGTTTTCCCCTCTCAGAACAAAAGGAACAGTATAGCAGTCGATAGTTTTTGTTGAGGAATCTTAGGAGAGAAGATGAAAACCCGGTGGTGGGGAGAGGTTTCCAAACTATTCGGATTAAAACCAAGAGTAAGACATTTTATCTGAAAAGTCATTCATAGGCATGAAGTTTCTTTGGACTGAACACTGATGTAACTTCAGGATGGGCTCACAGACTTTGCTGTATTTATGGGGTGGGGAGAACAAAAGTTATCTCTTGCCTATAATCGCCTGCACTAGGGTCGCAGAACCTCAGACTTTGGGCCAACTTCAGCCTTCTGGGCTTCCCTAGGTAGCAGCGCCCGTTCTCTGGCAGTGAATCATGTGTATGCTGTCCCCCCTTCTCCCATTCTGCAAGATTGAAATGCATGTCTTAAAATGAGGACAAGGCTGATATTGAGCGTGGGTGGGAGGAGCCTTTGGTCCCACCACCACTGGAATGCCCCCTCCAAAGGTCTCTCCAAAATGGAATTTGGCCCTCAAGCTGAAAGAGCTTCACCCCTCAGAGCAGACCACTTCAACTGTGAGTCACCGAATGATGGATTCTGAGATTTTTTTAAAAAGCATAGTAAAGGTGGGGGTGCGGGGGAACCACAGTAATCTCACAGTAAACTTTTACAATCACAGTAGGGCATGGGGAGACAATTGCATCCTGCTATACCAGTAGGAAGACCAAGGCGGCGGGAGGGGGGGGGGTACAACCTTTGCACTAGAACCCTTAGGTTCTCAGGGCATTTTGTTGCCTTCAACCCACCCTACGAGAATCAGTCTGGGTTATCAGAACACAACAAACCATTGCACATAGCAACCTACAATGGGTTAAAATACTCTGCAAGCTCATCAGTTTGTCTTTGAGCGTGTTGTTTTCTTTCATGACCTCTGACCACCTGTGGGCATATACAGTGGTACCTCAGCTCACGAATGCCTCAGTTCACGACCAACTTGGGTCATGAACAGAAATTTCAGAAAAATTTTGCTTCAGGTCGCGAACTCCGCATCGGGTGATGATCGCGATCGCAGCCATGTTCCCTGCATGAGCATTGCGGCCATCTATAGCCATGATAGTGGTCGCGCTCGTGCAGGGAAGACAGGCGCGATTGCAGTCATGCTCGGGGGGGGGGGGGGAGATGGCTGCGATCTTTGTTGTTCTTTGTTACTTTGTTCTTTGTCACTTTGTTTCAAATTTTTGTTATTAAAAATGGTTACAGAACGGATTAACCTTATTTACATTGAATCTTATGGGGAAATTTGACTTGGCTCATGATCAGTTTGGTTCACCACCAGAGTTGTGGAACAGATTAAGTTCATGAGCCAAGGTACCACTGTAGTCCTCTGGTGCTACTTTCAGAAGTGCCATTGGTGGCAGTAACCTCACACCAACAAATGAACCCTAAGAGGGTCATGATATGGACACTTTGTTCCTTCTGCCAGACCTTTACTAAGCAGGTGAGGCATAATTAATCTACTTGGCTTGGACCTGTTCTCTGGGAACAGGTTGTAAACAAGACATCTGAAAAAAGTCTGTGAAATGTTGAAGGGCCACCCCCCACCCCCCCGCCAGACATCAGAGACCATATTCCACTTCCTTGTGAACGTTCTGGTAGCTTAGAATCCAAGTCCCCATCACAACCAACCCCGTCAAGGTCAAGGTTACCGATCTTCCAGTAGCAGCCAAGTTGCTGAGCTGTTGTAAAGCAGGTCATCCAGAAGGGAAGCCCACATGAGCAGTTGAACCTGAAGAAATTACTTGGTCTGGAGACCCAGAAATCAATGGTCAGGATCAGCAGTCCAGTTTTGGATGCAGTGCAGTCAGAGGTTTCTACTCCCATAGCAGTTTCTTTGCTTCTGATACTCCTGCAAGCTATCTGGCAAATTTGGAAAGCTCCTTCTTCTGGTCCAGTGTGGTGTAGTGGTTAAAAACATGGGACCCAGGTGATCTGGTTTCTAGTCCCTCTTTGGAGATGTGGGTAGCCATGCTGCTAACTGGGTAGCTTTGAACCAGTCAGATTTTCAGCCCAACCTACCTCACAGGTTGTGAGGAAAAGATTGAGAGGAGGAGAATTATGAAAGCCACCTTTAGTTCCTTGACAGGGGGAAAAAGGTGAGAAGTAAATAAAGTTAACAGTTCTGGAGATGGCTTTAGGGTTTCTGTTTCAATATGGTACACCAAATCCCTTTACTATGCAGAAGAGTCCAAAGTCACAGAAGATTCATGCTTCACCCATAGATAAAGAAGATAGACTCCTAAAATTGATGGAATGTCCTGTTCATTCCTCTACTGCACTGTGACTGAGATTTGCAAATGATCAAGCAGCAGTGTCCCAATATCACCTTTCCCATGGGGAAAAGTAGAATTGCTGTTTTATCTTCTCTCTGAGGTTCAAGGGGAATTAGCCTGCATTTTCATGATGAAGTGATGTGCATATCTCAGCAGATACACACAAATCAACAACCATACCCTAAACAGAACCATCAAGTTCACTGCTTCTTCAGAAATCAATACCCTCCTAGCAAAGTATGTGAAAAAAAAGGTTTCTAGGTGTCTACTTCAGTCTGGGTTCTCTTCCTGTTATTTGAACATTCCAAAATGGAATTGAGGCCTTTAGCCAGTTCTGGGTGTCTGAAAGGTAAACTCACACCTCACAAACACACTCATTGCAGTTGGTACGGAGGTGTTCCAGCTTCAGATGTTGTAATTTGGTCCCACCATGGCATTGAGGATTAGTGTATCCATATATAGAAAACTAATTATTGGTGGCATCTACAAGGGTATGTCTATGAAGCGCCATTTCCATCACTTGCCATCTGCAGGATCTCAGTCT